TTCTCTTTATGGAAATGTTTCAAAATTTTTTAAAAATATATTTTTAAGTAATACTTAATTTTTTTAGATTAAAAAATTTATTTTTAAATGTTTCTTCATTTCATTTTTTCATTATAACTTTTTTTAATAATCCTATACTTATTTATTTATTTTATTAACGGGTAATTTTTCTTCAATTATTAAGTGAATTTATAATCAATCACTCATAATTTTTAATTTACAATAAAATTTAATTTTTAATAATAATTGCTTTTAATATCTTCTTTTTATCTTTTATATCTTCCTTTCCTATAAAAAATTCTTTTTGTTAAGAAATGCACACTTTGCTGTAACATGTTTCATTCATAATTATTATTTTAGATCATAGATAAAATACATCAAAGACTTTTTGAAAAAAAAAAATAGACAACTTTTCATTTTTAAGAGTTTTATCTCTAAATCTATAAATCTTTATTATTTCCTATCTGAGAGTAAATTTTTTTTCAAAATTTTGATTAATTTTGCATCAATATCTGTATAAAAACTTAATATTACAGGTGACAAACATTTTTTTTAAACATGGAATAAATTAAATTCTTAAAAAATTCTGTTTGGATAAAGCAAATAAATATCAGAAATTAATATAAAAATATCAATAAACGAAACTTCATTAGATTGATTCCAAAAAACGCATTTCTAAAAAAACATTTTAATGTAAAAATTAAATGTAAAACGCATTTACTAAAAAAAAAAACATTTTAATATAAAAATTATAAAACAATTCTTTACTTGCATTTAATTTACATACAAAAATGTAAGATTTTATATCTTGCATAAATTTCCAATAATTTCAATATTAAAGAATACTCGTATGACTTTTATAGTTAGCAAAGGTCAAATTCCAAGTTTCTTAGTTTAAAAAAGAATCTCTTAAAGAAGTTACTTCAACTTCACTTATTATAAAACAGATACTGCAACGCAGAATTAACGAAAGTATTAATAAAGATATTTGTCAAGATTTTTTTATTTCGAAAAAATTAGACTTTAAGATGATATTATTAAGAAATAGAGTTTTAAAGGTTAAAAAATGCGTTTATAAATTTTAAACATGAAACTAATAAAAATCACAAAAAATTCTATTTATGTATTAAAAATCAGATTTTGAAACATTTAACTTCAAAAAATTTTCTAGTGTGTTAAAATATTAAAACTAAAAATAGCATTACAAAAAAAATCGAACACTATCGTATTACACAAAATTTCTTTTTTTCATAATTACAAATTAATAAAAATCTATTTGCGAAATCTAGTCTTCAGCAATGTTATAAATTCCATTTCAAAAGAATATCAATTAGCAGATGTACATATTAAAATGTTCAATCTTAAGATTTGTATAAAACATCTTTTAAAGCTCTACTCAAAATTACATTGATGAATTTTCGATGTCGCACCACAGAAAAATTAGATATTTCGCAAATAAAATTTTATTAATCTATAATTTCGAACTACGAAACTACGAAACTACGTTTTATATGAGAATTATATGAGATTTTTCACTGCAATATTGTTTTAGACAGAGGTAGCGAGTGTTTCAGAGAGTTTTTAGAGATAAAAAATTTGAATCCTTGTTGCTGTTTTGGAAGGATTCCTAATCTAATTTTTTAAAATAACATCGAGAGAACGACATGAATGCACACTGTACCAATCACAACTGTGAGATCCCGTTTCGCATACTTGTCTCGCGCAGAAACCGATGGAAGATCGAAACCGAGTGCACGACTAGGAAACCGAGAGGCCGTACGAGAATAAGAGTGGCTGCCTGACCGCGACAAGGCTCAACGAGAACTGGCTTTGCTTGGGCCAGTAAGACCCCACGGACAATCAAACACCGCTTGTGCAATCATCCGTTTTGAGCAAAACAGTCTCGCTTAGAGGGGATAAGCTTTGCGCTTCTCCAATGGCGGTCAAATAAATCTCAAGATCGTGGAAATGTATGAAGAAATATTCAAACACATTACGCGTTTGACATCTATACGATTTTTAAAAAACTCTCGATATAAGAGATTTTAAATTTACTTGAAAGAAACGTTTCCTGAGATTAAAATGGCTACGGTCGAGTCATGACGTAGTTCCCTCTTCGGAAACTGTGAAACGGCACGGTGTAGAATCGCGGAATTTTATCATCGTTCGGCATTATTATCATTCTATATTTCGTTCAAGGTCCGAAAAATCAAAGCAAACCGGTCCAAAGACCGGTCTACCCAGATAGAAATGTTCAGACGTACTCCAGAGATAATGCTTCTTGTTAAATTGTAAAAATCTCTTTCTTGTTTAAAAATACGTGGAAAATAAAAAAATAATGTAACACAATGTACTTTATAAAAGAACTAGATAATTAGATAAACTGGTGTTACACATTTTTGTATAATAGCAATAATAAGATCTATTACTAAAATCATTATATATATATATATATATATATATATAATTTTATTATATATATATATATATATATTATATTAAAAAATTAAACTAATAAAAACATATAAAACATTATATATATATATATATAAATCAGTAAGAAATACAGTTTAGTTCTATTATTAACTAGATAAACTTCTTACTGATTTCTTACTGATTTATATACGAAACAAGTGAGAAAAAACTAACTGCGTCATATCTCAGAAAACACTAACGTCATATCTCAGAAAACACCTTTGCCCGAGCTCTTTATGCATTTCCTTTGTTTTACGAATTTTTTAAATATTTCTATATAACAAAAATATTATAGTCCTCTATAAAAGTCTTCTATCAAAATATATAGAATATAATAAAATATAGTATACCTAAAAGCTATATAAGAAAGTTATATAAGAAAATATTTATTTATTCATTAAGACTGTTACGAGATAATCACGTTACAGTTGAATAAAAAAATATTAATATATGCTACACAAACATGTTTTACAATTTGTAATTTTAATTTTAATAATTCGGATGAAGCAAATTAAAATATTTTTTATCATAATCATTATCAAATTAAAATATTTTATATCATAATTTATAATTTTTTTATTAGACATTATAAATATGTCATGTAAAAAATGTTCTATAACTCTTGATTTTAATTTTAATAACAAAGTTTAAAAAAAATACAGTGAGTTAATATATTAATTTTCATATAAATTAAAAAATTTTAAATTTAAGATAATTTTAAAGTAAATTCTTTGATTTCGATTCAATAATTTTGATAAATAATTTCAATAATTTTGATAAAAACACTTTTGAGATATGACTTTTGAAATATTTTATGCAAATATAATTTGCAATAAGTCTTTTTTATTTTTGCAGTTGCCAACAATAAAAAATAATAAATTAATTTTTATTTAGAAATTATTAATTATTATTTTTCCATAATCTTTCAATATTTTATAAAAAATAATGCAACAAACTTTTGTCTTATTATTTGATAAGCGATTTTACTGAAGTTTATAATTTTCAATCTAATTCTATTAGTTATGTCACTTGATAAACAAAAATTGCAGATTAATTGTAGATTTGACGAAAAAGATTTGTAAAAAAAATATTTAATTAAAATTAATTGTTGGCGAATGAGAAATGTAATGTGCTCAGTGCTATTTTCACAATAGCTATTACTGAATGCGAGTGAAATTTGACTAGAAACCGAAACGGTGTTCTGACAATCTTTATTACGATACTATCATGAAGTATATATCATGTACTATATCATGTAGATGTATTTGTAGAATTTTTGCAAAATAGTGTGTATATTTTTAATATATAGATAAATAAAAACAAAACGTAAAATAAAAAGTGTATGAAAAAAATATACAGTTCATAAGAAAATTCCGCTAAAAATAAAAAAAAAACATAAAAGTAGAGAGAAAATAAGATAAAAACTTTATTAATAATTAACAACTGGAAAAAAGATACAAATTAAGTAGTAAAAATGATAGCTAATGAATAAATAATTATTTGAAATATAACATAGACAATTATGTGACAATTTTTGTTTATTTACATTTGAATGTAAATAAATGTAATTGTGCTTATTAAATGTAATTGTGCTTATTAAATGTAATTGTGCTTATTAATTAAATAAAGATATGTAAACCTGTATGAGATAAAATTTTATCTACCACATCTACCTTTTTTTTCTGCCAATAAAAATAGATGATGTGGATATTGAATACGTCAAGGCGATCCTCTTTTTAGAGCTCTCTTATTTGTCGGCCATTTTTTCCTCCCAGAGATCGGCTAATGACAATAATAGAGTTGCGGATAGTTGCCCAGTGTTTTTCATTTACATACCTTCACAATTCATTTAAAATTTTAAGCAAGTAGACAGTAACATTATTAAAAGGTAACGTATATACATGTTGTGTCATATAAAAATCATTAAGGAATAAAAAATTAAGAAATATTGTTAATACTCACTGTGGGTGTTTTATGCTTTAAATAATATTCATTGAAATAAGAGAGCTATAAGATTTTTAAGAAAAAGTTATTTTAATTACATTCTTCTACATTGTTCTAGGTCTTTTATATCTTGTTTGTTATCTATTGAGGTTCAAAAGGCTCGATATCTGAAGATTAAATTAACATGTAACGTAAGATGATCTATATAAAAAGCACACGTGGAACTTTGAACTAACTGCGCATCGATATTCCAAGTACACGCAACAATGCGCATAGCTCTTCGTTCAATATTTGATAATATGTCTATATGTATACTTGGCGACATGGACGCGAAATGTACACAGTGTCCGTAATATAAGTAACATGCAGTTGACGATTTGGTTCATATTTTATATCTATAAGTGACATAAAATTTGTAAAATAATTGTTGGTTATTAATAACATTACATGAGAAAAAATCAATCTTTATTCTATTTAAGTACACATTTATTTAATTTTTAATAAATAAGTTTTTCTGATACACTACACTACACTAATAAACAAAGATATTGATAAAGACATAAAGACTTACATATGTAGCAGTTTAATCATAAGATAGTTAATTGACTTAATTTAAATATTATATGAAAAAAAACCTCCAATGTATTATATGTATTATGTTCTGTATTAATTGTGAATATTATCGAGTCATCGTTATATTACCGAGAACGACTGTTGTTAATTATTTCGAAGACCTCGTGATCTTATGCAGCAGAAAGAAACTTGTCATTCGAAACAAAAAAAAAAAAAGAAGAAAGAGAGATAATTATTTCATTTAAATACATGTAATACATGTATTTAAAAATATTTATTGATTAATTTTTTCAAGCAAAGATTATTTTTATAATTTTATTTAGATTAAATGCGGGAAGTTTAAAAATAAAAAAAAAATTAGAAATATCAACTTCATTATATAGATGTTTTAGATCTTAAATTTTGAAATCCAACATTCTTGCTTTTATACTTTAATATAATCATTTCTAAGTATAGAATTTCTAACAATTTATAAAGTGTAAATAAAATTTTTACTTTTAAATTATATTATAATGTTATATAAA